CATCATCCTCAATGAAATGTGACTGAAGGCATTCCCCTAGAAACAGTAATTACCCCAAGATGCCCACTATCACCACTTCTATTCAGTATTGTTGCGGTAGTCCTAGCTAGAGCAATAAGGCAAGAGAAGAAAAGAAGAGGCATCCAAACTGGCAAAGAGGAGGTAAAACAACCTCTGTATGCAGTTGATATGATAGAATACATACATAGAAACCTCCAAATACTTAGTAAGACAACTGGACCTGGTGGCGTAATTCAGCAAAGAGGTAGGATGGAGGATACAAGATCAACTTACAAAATCAGTTGGATTTCTCTGTAATAACAAAGTCGTTGTTATGTGCCCATCCATCAAGTCTTCAAAATAATGAGAGAACACTGAAAAGAAAATGAAATCTATGTCAGTTACAATAGCTAACGATAAGATACTTAGGAACAAATCTTTCTAGAAATAAAAAGAGATCTAGAGAAATGGAAGAATATGCCATGTTCATGGGCAGGAAAACTTAATATTGTAAAAATGACAGTTCTGCCGAAAACAATCTACAAGTTCAATTCAGTCTCAGCACATACGTTGATGTAATTCAAGGAGCTAGAAAAGGCAATTTTCAACTTTATTTGGAAAGGAAAGAGATCCTGAATAAACAAAGTTCTACTGAGAAGGAAAACAAACTAGGAAATATGACATTCTCTAATCTCAAATCCTACTACACAGACTTAGTAATCAAAAATAGCATGTTACTGGTACAGCAGCAAACACTTACCCAATGAAGTAGAATCAAGAGCCCAGAAATCAAGTCATCAACCTCCAGACAACTGTTATTTGACAAGGAGTCAGTCCACTAAGTGGGGAAACATCAGCCTCTTTAACAAATGGTGTTCGCTTCAATGATTTAGATCCTCCCAGAAGAGCTGTGGGTGAGCATTAACATTACTGGTAAGTATATTAATTTTCTCCTGGACACAAGAGCCTATTATTTGGTCCTAAAAGCCTTCTGAGGTACCAACTCTTCTCACTATTTCTTAGTTGTTGGAATTGACGGAAAACCTCATAGGCAGTTCCTTACTTCACATGTGCCTTGCATGTGGACTTCCGAGCTGTAAAACAACCCAGTGGTAGATGGAATTTGGTCCAGAACATAAGAACAATAAATGACATAGTTGAGCTTCTGAGAAAAGAAAAAAAAATGGTGCTGACAAGACTGTACATTTTTCTGCAGGAAAAAAGAAAGTCCACATCTCAAGCACACACAACAACCAACTCAAGGTGGATCAGGGGCATAGGGACAAAAGTAAGAACTATGAAGAGCATCAGAGGGGAAAAAACAGGAACGAATTAGAAGTCTTAATCTATGGCATGAATAGACTTTCAAAGATAGCCAAAAATACAAATCTAGGAGAGGAAAAATGCATAAAGGGACCTTCTGAAAACTGAATCCTTGTATGCATCAAAAAACTTCCCCAGTAGGGTGAAAAGAAAGTCCATAGAATGGCAAAAAAAAAAAAAAATATTTGGCTATGATGTATCTGATAAGTGAGTTATATTTAAAATGTATATAATACATTTCCTTGACAAGGAAAACAACCCAGTTACAGAATAGGCAGAAGATATAAAAATATGTTTAACCAAAGATACTTAGATGATCAACAAACACATGAAAAAAGTGCTCAAGATAAGCAACAGCATTTGTTGCCGTTGCTCTTGTTGTTAGGTGTCATTGACTACGACTCATTGCAACCTGATGCCATCCTCATCAACCCTGACACACTTGTGCTCATTGCTTTCTGTCCATCCTGTTGAGGGTCTTCCTCTCTTTCGCTGACCTTCTATCTTTCCAAGCATGATGTCTGCCTCTAATAGCTTCTCCTAGCAACATGTTCTAAGTATGAGGGATTAAACTTTGCCATCTTTGCCTCCTAGGAGCACACTGGCTGTACCTTCTCCAAGACAGATCTGGTTATTCTTTTGGCAGTCTATGAGATATTCAGTAGTTTTCTCTAACATAACAACTCAGAGACATCAATAATTCTTGATCATCTTTATTTATTGTCTAGCTGTCAGATGCATGGCAACTGATTGAAAAGACTGTGGCCTGAATCGAGTCTGCTGTAGCCTTCAGATTGACATCACTGCTCTTCAGTACCTTGGAGAGATCCCTGACAGCAGACTTGCCCACTGCACTACATCTCCTGCTCCCCTGACTGCTGGAACAGAGGTTATAGATTGGAAATCCAAGCAAGATTAAATCATTGACAAATTCAGTCCTTTGTCTATCATGATGTTGTTACCTGTTGGCCCAGTGATGAAAATTCTTGTCTCCTTGATGTTGACATGTAATCCATATTATAAGCTGTGGTCACTGATCTTCTGCAGCAAGCATTTCAAGTCCTCTTCACTTTCAGCAAACGAGGTTGTGCCATCTGCAGAAAGCTAGAGAGATGCAGATCAAAGCAACAATGAGGTATCATCCCACCCCAGCAACAATAGCAAAGGTCAACAGAATAGCAAACAACAGATATTTTTATGAGAATTCCGAGAGATTGAATACTTATGTGCTGCTGGTGGGGATGTAAAATGATACGTCACTATGGAAGGCAGTCTGACATTTCCTCTTAAAGGTGGAAAATAAATACATTTGATGAGCTACTCCACTTCTTGAAGAGAGCTCTAGTGGACTAGTGATAAAGCATTGTGCTGCCAACCCAAAAGCATGTGATTTAAATCAATCAGCTCCTCTCCATGGAAGAAAGTTGGATTATTTCCTATGTGATTTACAGTCTCTGAAAACTCACTTGAACAGTAAGCTATGACTCTGTCTAACTCAAAGGCATATGACAACAACAACAATAACATTTCACTACCTAAAGGAGGTGCAGTAAGAGTGTTCCTTAGAGAAAAGTATAGTGACATTTCATTTCAATTACTTTGGGCATATTTTTCAGGCAGTATCAATCCTTGGAGGGAGATATAATATTGGAAAAGATAGAGGTAAAGGTATAAGAGAGGAAGACCCTCAGCACAATGAAGTGACAGTGGCTACCACTATGTACTTGTGCATGACAGATTATGAGGATGGCGCAGGGTAGGACAAGGCTCACATCTGTTGTTCATTGTATACTTAAAATTGTATTGTCACAGTCAACTTGATGGCATTTAATCACAGTTCCATTCTTCTCCATGGGAATTCCAGAACACTGAATTGTGCTCCTATGAAACCTATACCTACACCAAGAAGTTGTTATCCAGATAGAGCAAGGGAACATTGCATGGTTTAAAATCAAGAAAGGTGTGCATCAGGACTGTATCCTTTCTTTCTACCTATTCAGTCTGTATGCTGAGAAAATAATTTGAGAAATGACTTTATGAAGAAGAATGTGGCGTCAGCATCAGAGGAAGACTCATCAACACCTGTACTTTGCAGACTTGCTTGCTGAAAAATGAGGACTTGAGGCACTTACTACAGCAGACCAAAGACTACAGCCTTCAATATGGATGACATCTCAACATTAAGAAAACATTTTCATCACTCGGCCATTAGGCAACATCATAATGGAGAAAAGATTGAAATAGTAATTTCCTCTTTCTGGGATCCACATTCAAAATCCTTGGTACCACCAGTCAAGACATCACTGGGAAAATTCATTGTCAGAGACCTCTCCAAGGTGCTGAAGAGCAACAATGTCAGTTTAAAGACAAAGGTACACCTGACCTAAACCCTCATTTTTATAAGTACATGCTACATAGCTGACAGCTGGATGACGAATAAGGATGACAGAAGCCAAATCAGTGCCTTTGAATTGTGGCATTGGAGACTAGTATTGAATAGCCCGCGAGCTGCCAAAAGAACAAACGTGTCAGAGAAGGTCAAACCCAAGTGCTCCTCAGAAGCAAGGACAGTGAAACTTCCTTTACATACTTTGGAAATGTTGTGAGGAGGGGCCAGTCCTTGGACATCATGCTTAGAAAGGTGGAGAATCAGCAAAGGAGAGGAAGACTCTCAATGAGATAAATTGACACAGTGACTGTAACAATGGACTCAAGTATATCAGAGATGATGAAGATGGCACAAGATAGGGCAGGATTCATATCCATTGTTCATTGGGTCGCTGAGTCATAGTCAACTTGACGGCACCTAATAACAACTTATGACATAGTGCATTACATGTTGGGCTCTAAATAAAAGGTCATTGGTTTGAATCCACCAGCCACTCCATGAGACAAACATGAGACAAGCTTATCCTGTAAAGAGTTACGGTCCCAGACCCAACAGAGGGTCTTGAGTCAGTATCAACAATGGCTGATAAGAAATTTGTACTGTTTTCCTTTGTATCTTTTTGTATTCATTTCTATTTCCCTTTATACATTCATTTCTCAAGACCTACCATTAATAGTTTGTTTTTCTCAGCTCTTGCCCCAGGCATAATTAATCTACACACACATCATTCCCCTAGGGCTTCATCTGAACCAACCACATGCTGCCTTGTTATTTGGCTTTTGTAGATGTCTTCCTTCCACTAGATTGGAAGTTCCTATAGACAAAACTATGGAACTCTGGTGGCCTAGTGGCAAGAAGCTGCACTGCAGTCTCAAAGGCACCAGCTGCTCCGTGGGAGGACGGACAATCTCCTCCCATGCATGACTGCTTCTGAAAACCCTCGAGAGGGTCAGCTGTAAGTCAGTTCCGACTCTACAGTACACAACAGTGTGGCATATAATGGGTACTTAATTCTTGTTTGTGAATAAATAGCTGACCCTTTCATGGGTTTCTTCATGAAGCTATTAAATCTCATGGTAAGAGATTGTCCATTTTTCTCCCAAAGAGCCTAAGGCTCGAGAGCTCTGGGTTAACGGTGCAGCTTCCAAAGGACTAGGCACTAGAGCTCCCTTGTTTGTACATAGTACTCATTTTTTTATTTTTAGTTTATATCTTTCAGATTTGGAAAATTATTTTACTGAGGATTTCTGTAGCTTTCGTTCATTGAAACTTTGCCTTTTGTTTGTAGGTGCTACTATTGTTTTACGGTCCAAATTTTCAGCCAGCCAGTTTTGGGATGATTGCAGAAAATATAATGTGACTGTCATTCAGTATATTGGTGAACTGCTTCGATATTTATGCAACACACCCCAGGTAACACTCCTCATGTATCTTGTTGAATTGGGTAAAGTGGGAATTTAAGTCATTTGGGATTTGGTTGGCTTCCACTGATTTGCATTAATCAATTTTCAGCTTATACTAAAATGGTTTCTCTTGAGAAAGTGACTCCGTGTCTGACTCAGTGGTGGTGTTAGGTGCTGTCTGGCTCTGACTCATAGCAACCCCACAAAATGAAATTCTCCTGACCATACACCAGCCTCATAGTGTCTGCTATGCTCCAACTCACATACCAGTCTCGTTTGCTGACTTTCTACTTTTCCAAGCATGATTTCCTTTTCTAGGGACTGGTTCCATCTGATAGCATGCCCAGTGTATGTGAGGCAGAGCCTCACCATCCTTGTTTCTGAGGAGCACTGTAGCTACAGTTCTTCCAAGAAGATTTGTTTCTTCCTTGGGCAGTCATGATATATTCCATACCCTATATCCGTATCACAATTCAAAGGCATCAGTTCTTCCTTAGTTTTCTTGATTCATTCTCTAAATTTCACATGCATATGAAGCAAATGAAAATACAATGGCTTCAGTAAAGGGAATCCTAGTCTTTAAAGTGTCATCCTTGCTCTTTGAGCATGTTAAAGAGGTACTTGGTAGCAGATCTGCCCAATGAAGCATGTCACTTGATTTCTTGATGTTGCATTCATGGATGTTGAAGGCAGATCCAAATAAAATGAAAATCCATTACAACTTCATTTATTTTCCTCATCTGTCATGATGCTGATGTTGTTCCTGGTTTGGCCGGCTCCTCCCAGGCTCGTGGGAAGCTCTCCTTGCCAGAAGGCAGGAACGTGGTGGTGGGAGTGCAGGAATCGTGGCAAACTTTTGGAGTTGCCTGATTTTCCTGGAATGTGTTTGACGTGCAGGTTTGCTCTGTCCCTGGAGTGAGGCTAGCCACCTGGCCCTAGGGTTTGAACCAGGAGGCAGCCTTAAGCCCAAGGCAGCTGGGAAGAAATGGCCATGTTGTTCCTGGTTTGGCCGGCTCCTCCCAGGCTCTTGGGAAGCTCTCCTTGCCAGAAGGTAGGAGCGTGGTGGTGGGAGTGCAGGAATCGTAGCAAGCTTTTGGAGTCGACTGCTTTTCCGGGAATGTGTTTGACGTGCAGGTTTGCTCTGTCCCTGGAGTGAGGCTAGCCAGCCTGTCAAATTGTCGTCCTGTCAAACATTCTTCTAGGTGGTATAGCACTGGTCTGTGCGTTGCTGTACAGAGGTAAATCGTGGTTGCTGTGATGCTGAAGCCTGTGACAGTGATGTGCCAATCGTGGTAATGGGCACCCATGGTGGACAGTGTTGGCTGGATCTTCCCGACTAAATCAAGCCTGGAAGCAGGAGCGGCATCCACTTCCAAAATGGCTTGCCTCCGGAAACTCTATGTACGAACAGTACTCAGGCTGTTCGTTCATAGGGTCGCTATGAGTCGTTTACGACTCGATGGCATTAAACAACAACAACAACAACAATCATGATGCTGCTTTTTAGTGGAGTTGGGAGAATTTTTGTTTTATCTGAAGGTTGTAATCTTTCATCCTTTTCAGTAAGTTCTTCAGGTCCTTTTCATATTCAACAAGCAATAGCTACCTTATATAGAGAGCTTCATAAATGCTGCTGCTGTTGTTGTTACGTGCCATCAAGTCACCTGTGACTCATAGTGACCTTATGTACAACAGCCCTAAACCCTGCTCTGTCCTGTGCCAATATCACTGTCTCTGACACATCTACCCCCATTACTCCAGTCACTGAGTCAATCCATCTCATAGAGGGTCTTCCTCTCCTGTTCCATCCCTCCACCCTCCCAAGCATGACATCCTTCTCCAAGGACTGGTCCCTCCTTGCAACATGTTCAAAGTATTTCAGACAAAGCTTCAGAATCCTTGCTTCCAAGGAGCAGCCTGGTTTAACCCTCTCTAGGATGAACCTGTTTGTTCTCTTAGCACTCCATGGTATATTCAACACTCTTCTCCACCACCACAGCTCTTTCAGCTCTCCTTCTATCCTCCCTAGTCATTGTCCAGCTCTCCGATGCAAAGCAAGTGATTGCAAAGACCATGGCCTGTATCAGGTACGTCTTGGTCTTCAGAATAACACTATTGCACTTCAGTAATAAATGCTAGTTGCTATTATTCTCTGCTTTTTTAGTTGTTTTTATATATTCTACAAGATTTATGAAAAGTCTATTAAATATATGAAAGCCTATTGAAAGTCTATTCAAATACACCTAATAAATGAAACTTACTTGGGTCATTCTGAAAAGAGTTATCATTCCCTTCACCTGCATAATTTTATTTGCATTTGCCTGTGGCACTTGTCCCATTGCATGGATTTTACTTCAAGTCTCCTATCCACTCTGGACAAGAAAATCTTCAAGGAAAGAATTCATATTTTGTCTCTTTCTCTCTCTTATACAAAGACATGGAGTAAAAATTAACTTATTATTTAATGAATAAATATGTATAAGTCCTTAAACCAGCCAATGGAGTCCTTCAGTAAGTTTGGAGTAGATGCTCCAGAGAAATTCCAGAACCGTTGGGGAAACTTTGCTGGCAGATAACCAGGTGTGTGGACAGAATTGTTCATAAGAGATGTTACTTACACATCTGATGACCCTCTCCTTGGGTCTAGATTAGGGTTTCTCCACAGTGACACCAGTGACACTTTGAGTCCATTCTTTCTTGGATGTATGGGCTTGTCCTGTGCATTGTAGGATGTTTGGCAGTATCCTTGGTATTGACCGTTACTATGAAGGATGGGTAGTACTCAGTTTTGACAATCAAATTGTCTCCAGATAGTAAAGAAAATGTTATAAAAACAGAAAAAAAGTCTCCAAACATTGCCAGATGTTCTTGTAGGCAAAATTCCCCCCAGTTAGGAACCTCTAGACTAGACAATACAATAAACTCACCAGATTTTCATTGGTTTAATGTGTTTAATCAACATAAGAAAACAAATTCAAAGATTCCTATTGATACATTGGTATTTATGTTCAACCAGGCATACATTGGTAGCACAAACATTTAAGCACTTGGCTGCTCCACAAAACTTGGAAATTTGAGTTCAACCAGAGGCACCTCAGAATAAAAACCTGGCTATACTGGAACACAGCTTTATGCTCTGACTCATACAAGATTTCCATGCACCTGGTCTAGATTTTTGTTTTTATGTTCAACTTCCTGTAGTACCAATTGCTGTGAGACAATATGCTGTCCGCAGTTAACCTATCTCTGTGGTTGCTCTCATTTCATTCAGTCATTTCCCAGATAGTACTTCCTCAGGGAGACCCCTCCTACTAATCATGAAATGCTTCACTGCTCTTTGTCCATATTGTTACTGCTTTTCATGACGCTTGTCAGGGCTGACATAGTCCAGGTCTACATGTTACATACAGTCTGTCACCCTGTTAAATGGCAGCTCTGTTCAGACAAGAACTTCCGTCATTGCCACATCCTCTATTTAGCACATCACAGGCACTCAACAAATCTTTGCCCCTGAAAAAAAGTTAATATTTATACTTGGTGGCATTATTGTTATTTTTGTCACACTCCACAAACTCATGTCCAAGGGTCATTAATTAGTGCTGTAAGCTGGTCTGGAACCTTTTTCCCAGCAATTCCTGTGGATGTAGTTATTGAATTTTCTTCACATTTGTATTCCACCTGGTCCTTAAGATTGCATGCCTCTCAATTAAAACCCAGAAATCCATATGGGGCCCATCTGTTTGGCTTTTCTTCTTTACCTTAAAGGCAACCCCGTGTCAACTAGACGTCTCCTGGGGAGTGTGTGTTGTTTCTATTAGTTCTAATGGGAGCCACATTTGGACTTGAGGTAAACAAACAGGTTTTTATGTGTAGTGCTTTTCAGGCTCATTCAGTCAATCTCTCTCTCTCTCTCTCTCTCTCTCTCTCTC